GGGGGGCGAATCCTCCGAATTCGTTACATTTAAAATACAAAGAAAGCTTAAGCCATGTTCGACTGGCTGGGGTCTGTATTTTGTGTGGTGGATGGTGTGGTGGTGCTGACGCTATTATCGCTAGAATTACCACTAGCCCCCGCGACAGTGCTCGTCACTTCTGATTGGCCGCTGCCACCGCCACCGCCGCCACTAGCGCCACCTGCACTACCTCCGCTTCCGGCACCGCCGGTACCGCCGGCACCACCGGCCCCGGTACCACTACCAGCGTCACTTCCTGCATTCTCGGACGTCTGCATGTGCTTCGGTATCAGCATACTGTTCAGGTTGGGCTGGCTTCGCAGCTCCTGCTCCGTGAAGTTGAATAATGGCGGAAGTGGCCGACCGTTGGGCAATCTGGTGCCTGGTTCTCGGAGCTCGTTGAAGAATGCATGGGCGCATGCCCAGAGTGGTGTCATTCTTAAAGACGGTGTGTACTCCAGCAGTCTGCCGACGAGGTCCATCGCTTCTGGCGGAGTGCGTGCCCTGAAGACCTGTTAATGAGAGAGCAAATATCTTTAGAAACTGTACATAATAGTCGCCACCAAGATTTTGCATTTGTAGTCTATACACTGATCCATTCGTTCCGGATCGTTTCTCTAAAAGAAAAAACAAATTGAGCGGTACTATAAAAGCGGGATGTACGACCAACATAAAAATCGTGTACCAATTCAGTTGAAATTTCACCAGTGAAACATTAGAGTAAGTGATGGTCTCGTTCTCTCGATTCGGCAATCACGAGAGATCAAGAGAGAGAGAAAGAGAGAGAAAGAGAGAGAGAATAAAATGGAAAATAAATAAAAAGATTTACATATGAGAAATAGAAAAGAATAATAGATCGCACATCTGAATTTCTGTTAGTCGTGTTAGCTGCCTTGGAGGAAGGGAGAGAACATTACTGAACCACAAAGTGTATCCTTGTAACTCATCAGCCGTTTTCATGTATTTTTTTCCATCACCTCCTTCTCTCCCTTCCTCATAATCCTCTTGCTCAATGATAGTCCTCTTTATCTGAACTCATCCTTCTGATTGTTCCCTTCTATCTCGTCTGTTAGCAGCAATTTCTCTGGCTTCAGTTCCGCCCTGAACTCTCAGGTTTCTTGGCTTTATTTATTCACTTTTTAAAAATTTTTGTTGAATAAATGTTGAGCTATTCTTGTTAGTCCGTAATCGGCAACAAAAACACGAAGAAAGATTCTCTGGCAGCCATACACGTAACAACACGTTCCAAGAGAGATCACTTACTCTAATCTTTTGGTGCTCCGTGGAACACTTTGGTGCGCTCATTCGCTGAAGCATAAACTGTAACCACGAGTACGTGTTGTTGATGAATGACACTGAGGAGGGTTGGGCTTGCGGGATACCTCAAACTCAAGGGACACAAGAACAGAGGTCGTATGTGATAATCGTGTAACGCGAGGCGTGTTTGTCACCAGTGGAAAATTCACAAGACGATCATCGTGAAGACTCTAGCTCATAGAAAATACTGACAGAAGGACACAGCAGCAAGAATGCGGTAAACACCTTGATCGGCAAAAAGAACCTTTCTCACGTTAGCCAGATGAAGAAAAGTATGTACGGACAAAGATAGGGGGAAACAATGACTGTACGTATGGGACAGCTACATATGTAACATATACACATGAGATTGAAAGATATCATAAGATCTCGACGTAGAACTACCTTTTGCCAGGGATGCGATTTAATCTGCGGAAATTTGAACTCGGTATAATTAGGGTTCATCTCGCGGATCTGATCGCGGGTCGGTGTGCCGAGGACTTTGATGATCTCGACAAGCTGGTCCACGCCGCTGTCGCCAGGGAATATTGGCTGCCCCAGAAGAAGCTCCGCGAGAACACATCCGGCGCTCCATACATCTGACAAGGTTGTAAGGATTACAAGATTAATAAAAGAGACAACCAGCAAAGGCACGCGTCTCCGCCGTAGGGATATCGCAGCTGCTCACCGATCTTCGTAGTGTAGTCGATGGCGCCGAAGATGAGCTCAGGGGCTCGATAGTAGCGACTGCATATATAAGAGACGTTGGGCTCTCCTTTTACAAGGTGCTTGGCCGAGCCAAAGTCGCACAGCTTCAGGACGCCACTCTCAGGGTCCAGAAGTAGATTCTGGGGCTTTATATCCCTGTGACAGATGCCCAGCGAGTGGATGTATGCCAGCGAGCGGAACAGCTGATACATGTAGAGCTGAAAGGAGAAATAAAATTATCAATACCGATGCTGGTAGCTAAGTGAGTTTAGAAGAGGAAAGACAGCCCGCAGGTAATGAGTACGAGGAGGATAGCCTGGCAGGAAGTCCTGATGAGGATTTCTCATGGAGGTAAGAAGCAAAGAAGGTCTGAATGAGAGAGACGGTATGTATCGTTATGTCGGTAAAACAGGGAGTGAAATACGATGACTCACGCTATCGTACCAGGCTATCGACTCGGACGTTATCACCTCATTACTGGGAGTTGTTTGAGAAAAAATCTTATCTATAACTTTGTTGTTGCTGCCCGTTGCCGTTCTCGGCGGCCATTCTTTTATTAGTTATATCAGACGGAACGACCGCGACGACGAGCGTCGCTCGTTCAGCCTTCGGGAACTTACCTTGATGAAACTAATCGGTATCGTCTGTTTGCTCTTGCTGTAATGTCGGGCGACTTTGTACACGGTTTCCGGGATGTATTCCAGGACTAGATTCAGGTAAACCTCGTCCTTCTAAAAAAGAGACGCAACGTCCATGTTAAATATAATAAAAACAAATTAATTATTGATCATGATAAATCGTCTCAACGAGATTATCACACTGCTTCCCAGGGCTGTCTTCGGACTCGACTCTATAATCCTGATACATCATTAGAATAATTCATTCGACGTGACGACTACCTTGGAATTCAGTGCGCAATCTCCTGGATATTTATCGAAATCATCTATGACTAGCGAAGCGGCGTTAGCTACTAGATCCAAAATTAAATCCTCAATGCTATAACGCAATGCGTAGAAACTCGCACGTGTAATCAAATTAGAGCCAACTGTACCAATTATAACGTACGGTCTATATAGTGATACAGGTTGTACCATATATCTGGATTATCTTTATAGGTCTGTCAAGAAAGAAAAAAAAAAAAAAGAAAAAAAAGAAAAAAACTTGTCAATCATCATACGCAGGTAGACTGTGTCATACTCGAACGACAGCTACCATAAAATGCTTGCGCGATAGTCGTGTTTGACGGACTATGTTGTTTTTTAAAGTCAAACGTCTTTTGATGTTACGTAACTGTAAAGCTTATTGATCTACCGTAAGACTGTTTGGCTACTGGTGTTTATACCACGGGTATGGTATACCCTGTATACATTTTTTGGAGCGAACGAACGAACTAGCCAACGAACGTAGAGTTAGAAAGAGACACGTCATTCGTCTCCAGCCTAGAAGCGTGATTGCCTAGAAAACTCGCCAAAAAAAAATAGGATTCTTTGTCCAACTACTGGGTACGCTCCAACTTACGTCCACATGAAAAACCGGATTAGTCGCGTTTAAGATGTTCTACAAAATAACATAACAACGATGCATGCATTATAAAACTAAAAGAGACAAAGTTTTCTCTTTTTCGAATAGAGGCCTTAATGGCACTCAGTCAAATGGTTACTAATATTTTAAACGTCGATATAAACCGCTACTTTCCATCTCTCGTTCAACAGATTTCTCATTCCATATTCATTCATTATACATAGACTATGGTAGGTATTTTTGTTTCTCCCAAAATGTTACAGCTCGAATAGGAAAGTTGCGTGGGAGGGCAAAAAAAAAGGGGAAAAAAAAAAAGGTGTGACTCGAAGACTATTCACAAGTCATGAAAATAGTGGAGCGCTATCATCAAATTTTTAACTCATTCGAATAAGTCAGGCTACTCGCACTTAATGATCGATCATTGACATTAAACGAATGAAAAATTGAAAAATCCAAATTACCTTATCACCACTAGAGTAGAAGAAGTATTTGAGTTTGACGATGTTGCAATGCTCGAGGCGCCGCATAATTTGTAATTCTCTGTTCTGAAATAATAAAATTGATAACGGTTATTACATTCCGCAGCTCAGCGTGGACTGTGATAAGAATATACTAAAGATCGTCTCACCTTAAATCGTTTATCTTGGAGAACCTTCTTAATGGCGACCATCTCGCCAGTGTCACACAGCTTCGCCTGGTAAACGACCCCGAAGCTGCCGTTCCCGATGACTTTGGTGTCGGTGTAGGCGACTTCCTGGGGACGATCTGGACCGGCGCCGGCAGTCGCCACGACCGTTGTCACCTTGCTGCCATCCTTGCCTGCATTGTACATCGCACCACCCATAGAAACAACCGAAAACCACAACGCTACAGTACAGCGAAAGTAACAGAAGGAAAAACAAAAACGGCTAGGTACTAAGAAAAAGAAAAAAAAAAAGTAAGAAAAAAAAAAGAATAATCTGACACTTCTACTGTAAATAAAATAAAAATAGAGAAATCAATAAAACACGAGAGACCTCGTGTGCTATTAAATAAAAATAGTATGCGAGAGAGATAGAGAGAGCGGCATTGCGTAAAGATTGACAGAGAAGCAAAAAGTCGTGCACCAACATTCTTTTAAAAATAAATTCTATACACGACAGTTTCACGAAGCTCGGATACGCATTGATATCTTTGAGGACAGGAAAAGGAAGGAAACAATAAGTGCAGGGGGAAGCCTTGGAAAAGCATAAGTCACTGGAAAATAAAAGTTTCGTTTACTCAATCGCAATGAGCGTCGATAGGCGTGTAAAGCTATTAGGCGCAATTAAAATGGCGTTAAAGTTCGTTGCGAACTGCACGACGTCCAATGGAAACTGAAAACATTCGGTATGTGCCGCGTCTAAAGATAGTTTACCCCATGGGAAATGAGTGCTACGCCAGCAGCAGTGCATTTAACTGAAGTGTGCTGTAAACCAGCTGTATTGCTCAGTTCTCTATAGCATTGGCACAAGAAAATCCCTATGAAAAAATATCTAGTTTTTTCTTTTCAATAATACACCAAGCCAATTTCAATTTTCTACGTTGCAACGGGAAGCTTAATTTTTTTTTCAGAAAGCTTTTTCCCACGGGTCCAAGTAACGGATGCACGTTTGCGAATGCAACAAGTGGCGGAGACGTTGACGTGACGGAAACAAAGAAAAAATATCTATATTTCCTTGAGTCTCGGATGAGTTTCTTTTGTCGGGACTTCTCAGGGATATCTGAGTCGTTCGTCCCTCGCGGAAGATTTTAGGGGCGATGAACGACAGGCGAATTCAACATGGAGTCTTCGAAGTTTATATGTAAATACTGCTGAGTAACTAGTATATTTCCAGGTCCACTCTCAACGTCTGTTACTTTTTCGAGATGCACGCTGGGATGGCAATTCGTACGTTTTATTTATTTTCAATACTAATAGACGCGCGATATCTTGTTTTTTTTTTTTTACTTTCTTCGAGAGTGACGCTGTTATGTTTTTTTAAGGCAGCAGCTCTTCTTGCCGACCCGGTGGATAACGATGCAGTCAGTCTGGGCCATTATACGATTTATTCATAGAACAAAATTGTATCACGAAAGAAAATGCAGGAAGTTACATCCACTCGAAAATGCCCGAGGATATCGAGTGGCGTGATATTACGCTTTTAGAATTTCGAAATGTCAATGCTGGTTGGCAGTGCGAGCGCAAATAACGATTTTAGCCTCGGACCGATTTTCTGTGACTCAGTGGCTAGAAATTTAGCGCGTATATACCCCCCCACGTGACTGTTTTCTTTTTTCAATCTAGAATCACCGAAAGTTGGAAAGTATACAGAAAGGATATCTAATAGCCAACGTTTAAAATAAAAAGACAATTTTGCAAAATTTTACAAAAATAACAGAAATCAAAACCTCTATTTTCATACCGCTACGAGCGTCCAAAGAACTTCTCTGTGTACCGCCTCGTGCATGGGACTTCATTACTTAAAAAATTCCACTTTTTCAAAAAAAAAAGGCATACAATAACGCTGCTAGAAAATTCTTCTCTATCGCTCGAAATCCCACTGTCGACCAGTCTTCGTGCTTCTTCGATAATTTTCGGTAATTGTCGTGCCTAGAGAGGTTCGATTCCTACTGCATCTTGTCAGTTTGACAGTTGAATGGATGCGCTCGAAATGGCAGGGCTGCCAGTACACGAGGAACAAAGAAGCGCGCAGCTCGTTCGAGAGATGCGAGCTACTTCTCGCGAATGAATCCAACGAAATGCGAAATCCTGAAGAAGAACAGCTACCGGGGGAAGTTGAAGTGGAAGGATCAAAAGTACATTCTAGAAACCCTGAATTATTCCGACACCGTTGAAAATGGGTCAAGTCGAGAATTTCTAGATCTATTTTCCAATAGACATACTTCGCTTCGTACATTAACATTAGCAGTGGATATTTCCGAGCATCGTTTCTAAACTGAGCTTGTCTTGGCATGGATCCGCGTAACTACTATAGAAAAGACACTTGTTCCACCCTTTAAACGAAGACGTGCCGTGATCTTGCTCAGCGTCGTTAGACTTCGTAAACGGACCCCCATCGTTAGACGCGCCAATCTCCGATAGCTCCACAGTACGATGATTAGTTGGAGTAAGCTTGAAACTGTAAATTAGCCGGAACAGGAGAAATGGTACCGGGTGGAATATGGGACTCACGTTTTTTACTTCCAAGACTGCGTAAGAATTTACAGATCTTCTTGTAAGCAGTGTCTGCCACTTCTTTGCTACCGAGATCCATCGTACTCCTCGACTTGATCCTCTCGTGACGTTGTCCCGACGAACATAATTTCGGATACCTCCACTGTTGACACGGCTCGGACCAGTCCAAAGTATTGGCCGGTGCCATTATCGATATCGATTCTTTGTCTTCTCTGAAAATTTCTCTATTCCTTCTATATTTCTTCTCTCCTTTCTTTATCTCGTTCTCAACCCGCCTTCCTTATAACATCATCCGTATGCACTCAGTGACATCGCATGTATTCTCTACAGCGTAATCGCCCCCGGATCATAAATCACTGTTATCAACTGCTCGCGATTAGTGAAATTACAGGCAAATCGCGTAAACACCCTCAACCGCTATCAAACCGAACACAAGGCTATTTGGCACACTGCGGTCTGTCAGGTTGTCTCGATTTTTTTTTTTTTTTTTTTAAATAAATCACGCACAGATCTTTTAATCGGATTTATCGATACTTTCCAAGAACAGAAGGTTGACGGTTGTCGGTCGTCAACGAAGACACTCGATGACGTAATTTCCGTTCTTCCCAAAGGACAACAAATGCAAATAATGATTAGTCACCCGGTAGTAAAAAGTCCTTCGGGTCTTTTCATCACGCGTTCCTTGACTCGGATTTCTTTTTCTCGTAAACTACATCCACGTCTCGCACGGAATTCACAAGTATCCAGGAAGATGCCGCGAAGGTTGCACAAACTTTCTGTTTTTGTTTTCTTCTTATTTTCTAACAAATTACAGCCGATCGCTCAATCTACTTATATCGTAGATGCGAAAATTTCTAAAATCTCATCACTCCCGTCTCACATTCGAGTCAGCTGCGCGACGTCTCTTCTCTCGCGTTTGGAACCAAAGTAAATGGCCACTCGTGAAACTTGCTCCTTATGAGTTCGTCTTTGCTGGAATTGCTCGTGTCTAAATATTGTATTAACGCGTGTTATATTTAGACGAGCACAAGGAGATAAGAAAGCTCGTTTACGTACATATCGACGTACGTCTTAGCCAATGGCAGCGAAGACTCTCGAGAGTTCCCTTGATCAGCGGAAAGAAGATTGTAGGGTTAGAGAAGGGGTACTATAATAATTCACTATAATCAAACGAACGATCCATTATCACATAGACGCTCAGCGAGTCCTTGTACAGTTAATATACGTATTAGAGAAATTTTGTAAACCTCTAATTAAAACTTTCCAGGTATTCCCCCTTATCCGTATCACAGTTCTCTTTTCAATGCTACTAAAATACTGCAACGATCTTGATCACTTTGATAACACTGGATGATCGGACCGAGGATAACTTCGGACCATACAAATTCCACGCACTGTAACGTTACTCGTGTCCCCTCTCGCCTTTGCACTAGTTCAGTTTTTACTACGAAGTTCAGACGTCGCTGGCAGACGACGTATCCCGCTGGACGATCACAGTCTGGATTCGAAACGAAACTCCAGCACGGACCTACGTTTCGAGGGATCCGTGTTCCATTGTTGACTGAACCGAATGATAAAAGACTGTTACGAAGTCCGCAAACAGCACTGCCTGAATTCGTATCGCGGAATAGCACTGTGGCGTATGACGTCACCGGTACCCTAGAGGCAAATAGCTTCGCACTGTTTTTCCTAGGTATTTTTGTTATTGCCGCTGGTTCCCGTCTCCCGCGAATCCCCACGGAGCGTAATTCTGATATATATTTCTTATCGCGGCTTCGCTCTTCCTGCGTGCGGCTTAACGATACTCCGCGTCGAACGGCAGAAACACGAGATCGGCGCGAGCACCTACGAGCAAAGCTGAACGTTCGAAATACCGTAAGATGTAAGAACGCAGCAGCACCTCCACTTCGAAGTAAAAAAAGTAAAACAGTTCCATTGATTTTTTGTCCGTTATCTTATCAGCGGCCGGACGGTAGGGAAGGGTGCGTGTCGAAGCGACGATTCAAAGCGAAGAAAAAAAATCTCTCTCCACATCGAAGTAAGTCAATAACATTGATACAACCAGCGTCCCCCTGACGTCTATATTTACTCCGAAGTCACTTTCTTCCAAAGGCCCTTATTCCGCCTCTCCTTGGACGCTACTTCCTCTTCCGAGTGATCGTCACCACCGGAGACCCGGACTCCCACCCAGCCCACGATTTTCGATCCGGCTTCTCGGCGAAACCGTTATCATTTTTTTAGGTCAACCCAGCGACCACCCAAAACCAACGGTCGTAGTCAAACGAGCGGCTGAACGTGAGACAGTGGCGCGTGCGGGCGTCGGTAGGGAATAAAATTTTAATTGCTAAACTTTCTTCGACCATCGGAACGAATACAGGCGAGAAAATGCGTCCGCGTGATTCTCTGAAATTTATAAGACGACGATGCCACGCGTTCGTTCACGGATCCAGTGATATAGCGACTGACGAAGAGAAGAGGAGCCGAGAGGTTCGCTCTCTTTGGAGAGTGGCGTCCCGGCGCCGCACAAACGACGCCTCCTCTCTCTCTCTCTCTCGTACGTCCCGATACTCTGCCCACAAGAGACACGCCGGCCACGGCTTACGTACACGCGTCTACCCATGTGTCCAACCAAGAGTGGCAGTAA